CTCCCCCTTCTTCCCTCTCTCTCACTTTCTCTCTTCGTTATTTTCTCTCATCTATCTCTCCCTTCCTCACCATAAGACAGGTAAGGACACACTATAAGTCACTATAAAAAAAAACTTAAATATATCACCATACGTCATACCTATACAAGACAGACACCATACTAAAGTCACCATGATGGATAGTGAGACACCATTCACAATACTTTATCAATGTCGTAATTTTGAGTATTATTAAATATCACCATCGTCACTATATTGCACCATACTTAGAGGGCATACGGTAGATTATATGTTAATGGTGTTTCGAAGCACCATAATCTCGAGGAAACACCATACACCATAGTTTGGGGAAAGTTTGTGTTTCAAATATTAGCTGTAGTGTCATAGTGTTTCATTAGGGGATAACACCATAACCCTGCACCATAACTCAACATTATAACTAAGACTCAGCAGCACCATAATTGAAGTCAAGTACCATAACCCAACACCATAAATGGGACCTTAGGACCATAAATAACACCACAGCACCATAATAAGACCTTTAACATCATTAATAAGATCCCTAACACCATAATAAGACCATTAACATCATAATAAGACCCTTAACACCATAATAAAAGACCCCTAACACCATAATATGACCCTTAACACCATAATAAGACCCTTAACACCATAATAAGACCATTAACACCATAATAAGACCCTTAACACCATAATAAGGCCATTAACACCATAATAAGACCCCTAACACCATAATAAGACCCATAACACCATAATAAAAGACCCTGCACCTCACGCCTCGCTTCACGGGTCTTGGAAGAAAGACTGGAAAAATATCGATAGGTTAAGGATACAATTTCGCGCGCCAATCTCACCATCCTGATCATCTAATTTCGCGCCACAGCCAAGATTATGTCGCCAGAAACCCGCCAAGTGAGCCGCCCGAAACACGCTCATAGCCACGCCATACAGTGCGCCTGGCTATAACGTCTGCTGGATATAGTGAAGGGGGGAGGATTATCATAGTGCATTAGTTAAGGTTGTGAGTTAGTTATGGTGAAAATTTAGTTGTAGTGTGAGTTAATTATATTATGAATTTGTTGTATAGTAAATAAAATATCGAGTAAATGAATACAACTAAATTTGGTTATTATAAAAGGTCTATTTTTGAAGATGTGAGTTATTATAATTGACCTCCTGACCTCTGACCTTACCTCGTGACGTCACCAGTCCATTAAATATGCTAATGAAGGTGTCTATTGTTGTTTAAGAGATACGAGTGACCCAAGTTTATAAAGAGACAAATTACTAATGCTTTTCAATACAACACCGCCACCACCAACACACTCCACCACCAACACACTCCATCATCAACACACTCCATCATCAACACACGCCATCATCAACACACGCCATCATCAACACACTCCACCAGCAACACACTCCACCAGCAACACACTCCACCACCACCAACAACAACACCAACACATACCACCACCAACACACGCCATCATCAACACTCGCCACCACCAACACACTCCACCACCAACACACTCCATCATCAACACACTCCATCATCAACACACGCCATCATCAACACACGCCATCATCAACACACTCCACCAGCAACACACTCCACCAGCAACACACTCCACCACCACCAACAACAACACCAACACATACCACCACCACCAACAACACACAATACATCACTACAACCACACTCCACTACCACACCCCACCACCACACTCCACCACCACACTCCACCACCACCACACCCTTAAATAATACATGGACTGTGGCTTCTATCCTTCCTCCGGCGGCCACACTGTCTTGCTGAGGTCACACAAGTTACAATCTGGCCTTTGTAAACCTTTGGCTGGGGATAAATACACCAAAGTTAATGATATTGTTTTGTTTACCTTCTGTTGTTGTTGTTATTCTTTGCTGTTCTTGAATGCTGTTTTGTTTACCTTCTGTTGCTGTTATTGTTGTTGTTTGCTGTTCTTGGATGCTGTTTTGTTTACCTTCTGTTGTTGTTGTTATTCTTTGCTGTTCTTGAATGCTGTTTTGTTTACCTTCTGTTGCTGTTATTGTTGTTGTTTGCTGTTCTTGGATGCTGTTTTGTTTACCTTCTGTTGTTGTTGTTGTTTGCAGTTGATATTGCTGTTGTTATTGTTCTTTGCTGTTCTTGAATCCTGTTTTGTTTACCTTCTGTTGCTGTTATTGTTTGTAATGCTGCTGCTGTTGTTACTGTTGTTTGCTGTTTTTAGATGCTGTATTGTTTACCTACTGTTGTTAATGTTGATGTTGCTGCTGCTGTACAAGAGCAGGTGAGCGGGCAAGGGTATTGTTTTAAGTCAGTGTTTGCTGCAGTTAACCTTTTCTAGCTTTCTTGTAGTTTTACTGTATAGCTGGTGTGTGTGTATGTGTGTGTGTGTGTGTGTGTGTGTGTGTGTGTGTGTGTGTGTGTCTCTCTCTCTCTCTCTCTCTCTCTCTCTCTCTAGCACGCCAGCACACTAACACACACACTACTCATACCAAACAAAGATCGTTCCAATAATTCACATCCCGTTTCAAAGAGTTTAGATGGCCTGTCACACTCTCAAAACAAAATACCAGCGTTCCAATAATTCAAGATCTTCTCCTACACTTGATGGACTGTAAGCCAGGAGAAAGGTTAAAGGGATGATGCCAACGAGATGGACATATAATTTACGTACAGTTCACCAGCTGAATCACGATCACCACGGACTTGTTCTTATCGTCTTTCCTCTCGTCCTTATTTTTGTTAGGGGTTATTTCTACTTCATGCCGTCCTTGTGTTTGTGTCATTGAGTCCGTTTGTGTGATCTTGAGTCCGTTTATGCGTTCTTGTCCATTTTTATGTCCTTAAGTCCGTTTTTTGGCGTCAGCGCGTCTGTCTGTGCGTCCGTTCCTATCCTAACTGACTGACAAGAGAGTACAGTCAAGCAATACAGACAGATCGGGTGTCTAGCATTGCGTGTTGGAAGACAGAGGGAGGTGCATAGCTGTGGCTGGCTGTGGGTGCATAGCTGTGGCTGGCTGTGGCTGGCTGTGGGTGCGGCTGTGTGGGGGAGAGAGGGAGAGGTTAGTCGTAGATGGTGAGAGTGAGAGGCATATAGAGAATGAGGGGTAGAGAGAGAGAGAGAGAGAGAGAGAGAGAGAGAGAGAGAGAGAGATATTAAACTTAACCTCATTCACTAATATTCTGTCGCAGATATAAAAATACCATCTATTATAATTACTTTTATTATTATTATTATTATTATTATTATTATTATTATTATTATTATTATTATTATCACTACATTTCGCCCTAATTACAATCTTTATCAAATACGTCACCCCTTAAATTAAATAAAACAATTAATAATTATAAGAAAAATAAAAATAAAAAACTACATAAAAAAATCCCTCAGTACACCTGGCTGGGTCGTGAGTTTACCTGTAGGTTGGCCCCGGTCAGGTGAGTTTGTCCTCAGGATGTCCTAATTAACACCATAACCTGTTCCAGCCCCTCCACCTTCATCACCTGATCCTCATCGTCACCCAATTATTAATATCTCTCTCTTGTAGATACTATCTCTCAGCTCCTTTAGAGAGATTTTGAGGTAGTGTCTCTCTCACTAAATTCAATTGTTATTATTATCTCGTTCTTGAAGTAAATGTCTCTTAGCTTCTTAGAGATTTGTAGGTTATGAGACTTTACTTCTCTTTGTCTCTCTCTCTCTCTCTCTCTCTCTCTCTCTCTCTCTCTCTCTCTCTCAGAATCAATTTAAGGAGTTTTCTAATTCTTGAACATTCTAACCTAACCTAACCTAACCTAACCCCCAAAACCTATTTAATCTTAAGGTGATATAATCTTGGAGGGGGGGGGAGGGGAGCTAATCTTCAGGTGACTCTTACTGTTGTTACCCGTCGTGGCCGCAGGAGTTCCCACGGAGACACAACAAGCCAGAAGAGTCCTTGTCACATGACTGGGTGGTCTTGAGGTAAGGAAAGTCGTCAATGGCCAGGTGATGAAGATGGTGACAGCTGAGGCAAGAGGGAAGGGCAGAATGGTGATGGTGTGTGATGATGGTGATGACGGGGCGTGGTGGTGGTGGTGGGTATAGGGAAGAGGAGAAGGACGAGGAGGATGAAGGAATAAGAACAGGAGGTGCCAGGAGTATATGATGAAGGAAGAACAGAAGTAGTAGTTGAAGGAAGGACAGAGGTGGGGGGGGGGAGATATAGCAAGAGATGGTCACTCAACCTATATACCACAAGGGTCATTATAGTAATAACAGAAGGTGACCAACTTGTGGTATGTTAATGTGGTATTGTGTGGTTGGTGTTATGATGTGGTGGGGTGGTATGTGGTGTTGTGTGGTTGGTGTTATGATCTGTGGTGGGATGGTATGTGGTATTGTGTGGTTGGTGTTATGATCTGTGGTGGGGTGGTATGTGGTATTGTGTGGTTGGTGTTATGATCTGTGGTGGGGTGGTATGTGGTATTGTGTGGTTGGTGTTATGATCTGTGGTGGGGTGGTATGTGGTATTGTGTGTCATAAATACCTATACCCTGGTACCCCAATATGTTAATTAGGTATGGTTCTTCAGGGTATATTTTTAGTATATTGTGGAATGTTATTATGTAAATGGATTATCTTTGTGTCTCTCTGTCTTTGTATATCTCCCGTTATCTCTCTGTCACTCTCTTTCAGTCTTTCTTTCTCTCTCTCATCTTTTCCTCCATCCCTCTCTTCCTCTTCCTTCCCTCTATCTCCTCCTGTCTCTCTCTCTCACCTCCAATTCGCTCGTTATATCTCTCTCTCTCTTCCTTCCTTCAATCTCCCTCCTTAACACTCTCTCTTCCTTCCCTCCATATCTCCCTCTCCCTCTTCTTCCCTCCATCTCCCTCCATAACACCCCTCCCCCTCTACCCTCCCTCCATCACCCTCCAACACGACTCACCGCCCTTCACCCCCAGCAGGAGTGAAGCGCCGTGAGGGTGGTCAGAAACGCAAGTTGGGACGGAACCCTCGAGTACCCTTCTCCTCCTCTCAGCTGGCAGCTCTTGAGGCTCGCTTCAGGCAGTCACAGTACCTCTCCTCCTGTGACGTGGCTGACCTCTCCGCCCTCCTCAACCTCACTGAGACAAGGGTAAGTACAACCTCCAACCTCCAGTCATATACATTTGTTTCCTGCCATACACATCTCTGGTTTATGTATTCTTACTATGTATACTTGTAGTTTTATGTATATTTAAATGCGTGTGACTAATCGTGTTTTTTTTTAGACATTAATTCATTATGTATACTTGAATGTTTGTTTTTCTTATATGTATATTTCGTGCTGTATATAATGTATACTAAAACGTTTGTGACTTGCATGTATACCTGGAGATGTATATAAAACGGAAAGTGTGTGTGTGTGTGTGTGTGTGTGTGTGTGTGTGTATGTTGATTTAATACATCCTCTTTAGATTTTTAAGGACCAATCACCTCGAGTTTCTTGATCGATACATGTTTGGTACTGGTCTAGAATCCCACAGGGGGGGTGGGTGAAAGGGAGGAGGAAGGGGAAGAAGGGAGGAGGGAAGGAGGGAGAGAGGGAGATAGTGTACAGAGTGTGACAGGAGGAACAATAGGCGCCATTCTAAAGGCCGTGGGAGACGTCACTCCTATAATGGCGGCAAGGTTGGTCGATTACCTGTGTGGGGTGTGCATGGGGTAGGGGGGCAGCACGCGGAAAACTATGCCACAATACCCCCTGCTGTGCCACCCTGCTATACCCTGCCACCCACGTCGCCCCACACTCGAGGTCCCATCACCCATACTATGATAGAGAACCCACGGAACAACGTAATTTTACCCACTGTGGGCCTCTAATCTAAACTCCTCAATGGCAGCAGTGATTGGCTCAGGGTTTTCAGTGTGTGATGAGGGGAGAGGGGTGGTGATGGTGGGGGAGAGTGTGTGGTGATGGTGGGGGAGGTGGTGGTGATGATGGGGGAGGGAGTGGGTGGTGATGGTGGGGGGGAGGGAGTGGTTGGTGATGGTGGGGGGAGGGAGTGGGTGGTGATGGTGGGGGAGGGTGGGGGTGGCGATGGTGGGGACGGAGTGTGGTTGGTGATGGGGGAGGGTGGGTGGTGATGGTGGGAGGGGTGGGTGGTGATGGTGGGGAAGGGAGTGGTTGGTGATGGTGGAGGAGGGAGTGGTTGGTGAAGGTAGGGGAGGGGGTGGCTGGTGATGGTGGGGGAGGGAGTGGGTGGTGATGGTGGGGGAGTGAGTGATGGTGATGAGAGAGTCAGTGGTGGTGATCACTTGGTCGCCAACAATACAATTCTCACTGTTAGTACTGGATACGACCTAACCTAACCCGACCCAGGAACCCTAACATAACCTAACTCAACCCGAGCCAACCTAATCTACCCTAACCTAACCTAATCTAATCTACCCTAACTTACCCTAACCTAACCTACCGTAATCTAACCTATCCTAGCCTAACGAAACATAACCTAACACAAAATTAACATTACCGTAACCTAATCCAATCCATCCAAAACTAATCTACCTTAACCTAACCTAACCTAACCTAACCTAACCTAACCTAATATAAGAATGGAGGAAACTGCAGCGGGCCTATTGACCCATACTGGGCAGTCCCATTTACACCTAGCCCCTATTGCTCATATATCCATTCAACCTAAGTTTGAAGCTATCCAGTGTATTCGAGTTAATGATGATGTTCGGTAACTTGTTCCACTCATCCCCTACTCTGTTTCCAAACCAATGTTTACCTATCTCGCCCCTAAATCTAAATTTGTCTAATGTAAAACCATTGCTACGAATTCGCTCCTGGTTGGATAGTTTGAGTACCTTTGTTATATCACCTTTGTTTAGCCCAGACCTCCATTTATACACCTCGATCACATCGCCCCTCACTCTACCAAACTCAACCTAATCTAACTCAACCTAAACTAACCTTATCAAATATTTCCCCAAAAAATAATTAAATTCCACTTTACACTGATTTTAAATGACCCTCAACCTTGTATTCATCTATTTAAACCATCTAATTTATAACCATTTACTAATTACTTTTACTCAATTATCAAAGAAAATTATTAAATTTGGCTCAACGACGCTAATTACTCCTCCTCCTCACCTGCGCTGGACACCTTCGTCAGGTAGTGAGAGATCTGTATCATTCCTCCCTCCCTTCCCCCCTTCCCCCCTTCCCTCCCTCCCTCCCTTCCCCCCTTCCCTAACCCCCTTCCCTCCCCCTCCTCCCTTCCCCTTCCCTAACCCCCTTCCCTCCCTCTCCCACCCCCCTCTCTCCCTCCCCTACCTCTGGATCACAAGGTATTATCAGCAGATGTGAGAGGCTAAGAGGTGCGCTACATGGCTCATTATTAAACGTAAACACCAGATAGACAGGTGAGGAGACATGTGTTTATGGTCCACCTTACCTGAGATCCAACGAGATACCTGGATTATCAAGGAAGAACCTGCCTGCTGGGGTGGGTGACGGAGGGATGAGATGTGTGTGTGTGTGTGTGTCTCTCTCTCTGTTGATCTCTTAGTTTCATCTCCTTATCTTCTTTCCAGAGAGGTTTATTGATCTGTTTAAGAGATAATATCATCTGTTTTGTATCTTGTGATTATCGGATCTCTCTCTCTCTCTCTCTCTCTCTCTCTCTCTCTCTCTCTCTCTCTCTCTCTCTGTCATGACCTTTCTATATGGGTTACGGCATAAATAAATTAATATATAGAATTCGAGACCTGAGGTGAATTAGCCGTCACACACACACAGATAGATAGATAGATAGATAGATAGATAGATAGATAGATAGATAGATAATAGAAAGACAGATAGATAGATAGACAGATAAATAGACGGATATATAGAATGTCTCTCTCTCTCTCTCTCCATGAGCTAGACATACACCCGGTAAAGGCCACACTACTCCATTACAACATACTCCTAGTGATGAAGCTCAGTGTTTTTAAACTTGACATTCAACCCTGAAATCAAGTCAGCAGCGTCGTTAAGCGATGAATACTGCAGTCAGTCAAACAGACAAGCTCATTATTTGTGTTATTTAGTCGCTGTCTGTGGCCATTATTGAGGAGACCTGAGGCACAGTACAACTCATGCACAGGAGAGCGTGGTGCTGTACCTGGTCATACCTGTAGAGTGACCAGGTGTATGTGTGTATGTATGTATGTATGTATATATAAAACATGACGTCACTCAAGGCCAAGATGACGACGATTAAATACAAGAGGTTTTATTTACTTATAATTAGTAATAATAATATATTTGGCAACTATCAGACCAATAGTGAGGAAGCATAATGTATAAATACTAAGAGAAGGAGGAGGAGGGCTTAGTTACTGCTAAGCTGCCACAGGGTGTATATATGACATTAATAGCTGGGGTATCTACACTATATCCACTATACTGGGCCTATTATCATCACTATCATCACAATCAATACTACTATCACCATCAGAGAGGGAGAGAGAGAGGGGTAGGGGCGTTGTCTCCATGTTATCTGCCTGCCATTTCACTCTAAGCAGATTACCACCACGTACAGCAGATGCTCACTGCTGCCACACTACTGACTGCTGCTGCACGGTGAGAGAGAGAGAGAGAGAGAGAGAGAGAGAGAGAGAGAGTATCAGATAACTTGCAAGACACGGTATATGGGGGTCTGGCCTGTACACACCACCACACCCTTCTCCCCTCCTCCCCTCCCTCACCACCACCACACCCTTCTCCCCTCCTTCCCTCCTCCACCACTACCACACACCCTTCTCCTCCTCCCCTCCCCCACCCCCCCACCCTTCTCCCCTCCTTCCCTCCTCCACCACCACCACACCCTTCTCCCCTCCTCCTCCTCACCACCACCACACCCTTCTCCCCTCCTCACCACCACCACACCCTTCTCACTCTTAAACCCCTGATGTGACCCCCCTACATCACTCCGTCACTCCTGTACCTCACCTCGGTCACTCCTGTACCTCACCCAGTCACTCCTGCCTCGTGACGTCCCTGCATCCCAGCTCGCGTGTGTCTGTGGTGAGATGCACGACGGGGGTGTAACCAGAGGACACCTCCCCCCCCGTCTCTACCCCACCCCCATACACACACACACACACACAAGCCATGAAAAGTAACAAGAGATGAGTATTTGAGGGAAGATGTGTGTGTGAGTGTCATGTTCTCTATATGACCCCTAAACCCCTGATATGACCACTTAAACCCTGATATGACCACTTAAACCCTGATATGACCCTTAAACCCCTGATATTACACTTAAACCCCTGATATGACATAAACCCTGATATGACACTTAAACCCCTGATATGACCACTTAAACCCCTGATATGACCCCTTAATCCCCTCATATGACCCCCTAAACCCTGATATGACCCTTTAAACCCCTAATATGACCCCTTAAACCCCTGATATGACCCCTTAAACCCCTGATATGACCCCTTAAACCCCTGATATGACCCCCCTAAAACCCGACAGAGATACACACAGCTGACATTAGGTGACTCAGTACTTCCACCAACTGTCGCAAGATGGCGGGCAAGTCAGTCTGTCGTCACCATCACTACCGTCCGAGTTACTGTCCACGACAATAACTTATGATCTGAGCTGTGACTTTACTAATAATAATACCGTCACTCTTTGTCGTTCTTGTTACCTTCAGCATAGGACCCCTTCACTCCCCTTCTCTTCAACATAGGACTCCATCACTCCCCTTCTCTTCAGCATAGGACCCCATCACTCCCCTTCTCTTCAACATAGGACTCCCTCACTCCTCTTCCCCCCACTTACCTCCTTCATTCGACCCCTCACTACTCTTCCCTTCGCCATTCGACCCCTTCACTCCCCTTCTCTTCAACACAGGAGCCCCTCACTCACCTCTCCCTCGGTCCTCTTTAACGGATGGGCTACCTCCCCACCCAAACCCAGCTGCATCTCCCCATTCCGCTGGGAGGGGGGTGGGATGGAGTAGTTAAGAGTGGGAGGGCATTGATGGAAGGTACAGTGGGATGGCGTGGATGGATATATGGGAGAGGAGGTGGGAGAGAAAGGGAGAAGAGAAATGTTACTGTGGGAGGACATGAGAAGATAGGGAA